TCTTTGACGAAGTTAAATTTGAAAATAGAACGTCACGTATAGAACATCGATATTGTTATGTTTCTTTTTATGAATTAAAGAACAATTCTTCTCGAACATTTCATTTCTTTTGGAAGTATTTTAACGCTGAATCTTTATGAGTTTTGACACGATTCTTCTAGAACATTCCTTTTTTTCGAATTATTGGTCATTACTGTTTTCGAAACTGAACGATAAAGGACGCGTGCAGATGGCATTATAAACCCGAGGCAAGACTTATACAGCGGTTGAAGGCCAACTCCTCTCTGACGGATACGACTTAGCTGAGGGCACCGCTAGGGGTTCGAACCTCGACTCAGGTCCTCGTATTTTCGATCCCTATTTGAATTGGACTTCTACGTATTATTCTGCATTGTAATATATGTCAACTTTGGTAGCTGAGAGCACCGCTAGGAGTTTGAACCTTGGGTCAGGATGTTGTAATTTCGATCCCTGTTTGAATTGGTCTATATATCATGCCATAATCTATCAGCTTTGATAGTTTGTATTTACAAAAAAATACCATACGCCATCTAGCTCGCCTTCGTATAAGTTATAGTATGTATTATAGAATAAATAAAAAAAATTTAAAAATGCAATTCTGACCACAATTATTTAAAAGACCATCACGAGAGTTTCTTTCTCATTCTTCTTGTAGTGAGCCTGCGTTTCGAATCTAAAAAATATGACTAATCAAAAGTGTCATTAAGTTTATTTGAATAAAGATTATTGCTATTGTATATATGTATTTGATTTTATATCTACGTAACATTATCGTACTTAATGAACCGGATAAGACCACGAGCGGACCGAGGCGTACCCACTAATGGATTTGGGTCGGTATTCGTAAATGAAAATAAATGTTTGTACCCGTGTTTTTTATGCAACAAAATTGGACAGGACTAAAGTAATATAGTCTGTGAAAAGCTCCTATTGCAAGATAAATATGTTATCAACTATCTGAAACATAGTTAAAAATATATACATCTACAAGCTTTTACACCCGACTTAGGGGTGGAATTTATCAAAATCCTTTCTTAGGAGATGCCTACATCATAGTAGGTTTATGCATGCAAAGTCTCAGCCCGATCGGTTTAATATTGACAAAGTTTCATACAAACTTTCATCCCCTATTTCATCCCCTTGGGGGTAGAATTAATCAAAATCCTTTCTTAACGGATGCCTACGTCATAACATCTACCTGCATGCCAAATTTCAGCCCGATCAGTCCAGTGGTTTGGGCTGTGCGTTGATAGATCACTATGTCAGTCACCTTTGAGTTATATATATTTAGATTTTTAAGAAGAATGAAAACATCTAAACATAATACCTATAATACAATTCAATTCAAACAGACCTCTTTCAGTATACTCATTAATTTCTGAAACTCCATCAACTTCGGTATATTACATTAAGCCGCTTAGTACTGAAAAGGACTCTGAAAATAACGATAACATTTCGTATTGTATTTCGGGACTGAAATACCGATATGTCTGTACGTTTATAAAAAATTTCGTTTTATTTGTATTGTTAAATGCATTGGTCGTATGAACATAGGTAAATATATTCTATTTATAGGTAATTATCTATACCTATAAATGAAATTGGAGTGTCTGTTTGTAATATTGAAATAACCATTCTTTACATGCATATTAATATAAATACAGTACATACACCAAAATAACTTTTTAAAATTATTTGCCTGTCTGTCTGTTTGTTTCGGTTAATCTCTGAAATCGTTGGACTGATTTTGACGGGACTTTTTGGCAGGTAGCTGATATAGCTGTGTTGATATACAGAAGGAGTGATATTAATAAAAGATTGAATATATAACGGTGTATATAATATCAGAATTAAAAATAACAAATAATAATTAATTTAACAACTTATTTAGATCAGTAATTTGCAAGCGAATGAATTTGACATTTTAACAATCTATTTTTTATTAAATGTATCTGTGTTATATGGCCAGTTTATGCAAGAAGGTTGGTAGTCAACGCTTCTAACTGGTGAGTTATAAGAACCTAATATCCTTGGTTTCTTTCCTGGGCTTCGGGTGTACATGTATTATACATATAAACCTTCCTCTTGAATCACTCTATCTATTAAAATAAAACCGCTTCAAACTCCGTTGAGTAGTTTTAAAGATTTAAGAATACATAGGGACGGACAGACGGCGACAGCGACTTTGTTTTATACTATGTAATGATTCCAGTCAAAATAATATTACTTGCGATAATAAAAAAATGCTAAAAATGAGATTTTTTATATTTACGCCGACCCCAAATAAAAGCGATGGAAATTTTTCTCTGTAAGAAAAAGTAGTAAATGTAACAAATCTCGTTACACAATAGCACAATGGTAATTACATTTTTAAGATAATTATGGCACAATTACAATTTTAAATATTCAAAATAATAAATGAAATAATATATAACATACTAATAAAAGTACTTTCATTTATTACTAGTATTTACATAACCTAATTGTACAACTAAGAACCTAAAATTAAAAAGCTTAAAAATATATATAATATGATGACTAAAATATATTATTAAAAGGGGTCCTTTAAGGCACTTCATGGAAAATGTCATAATTTTACGTTGTTATGTGGAATTTCAAAATGACAAATTTGAATATTTAGGACTCAAAAAAACAATAACGTATAGAGTTTATATAAAAATACTAAAAATAACTACGGCCTAAAAAATTGTTGTTGTTATTGTATTAAAAGTAATGTAATGATACTGTAGTAACGAGTATCGTTTGTTTTAGTAACTAGTAGCTACAGTTACTATCTGTATGACCTTTTTCTACAGCCTTACAAGATACGCAACTGTTCAAGAAATCATACCTTCATATAGCTGACTGTGCCAGCCGGGGAATAACAGCAGAACAACTTTGCAAACCTTAGCACGATATATACGACTTCTTAATCTGATCGGTGAGAGCTTCTGGGAAGATACAAAATACTGATTTTCCTTCGAGTGGAAAATCAGTATTTTGTGGAATTTTGGTACCATAAAGATGTATGAGCTCGTGGGAAACTTCGGCAGGAAGTTTTAGACTACAGCATGGGGTTTTTCAAGAAGGGTATATTAAGGTTTCTTAAGGGTCGGCAACGCGCAAGTGATACCCCTGGTGTTTCAGGCGTTCATAGGCTACGGTAACCATTTACCATCAGATGGGCCGTAAGCTTGATTGCCACCATAGTAGATAAAAAAAATGAGCCTGCTGGGACCCACACAATCTGGATGCTATGATGTATAAATGATAAGTCCGAGCTGCTTTCCAACTTGATATATTGAGTACACGATGACTGAGTGTGGACTGATGCTTGCTTGTGAGTATTTGGTGTACTGAAGAGAAAGTGGTATGTGTGGGCGTTGTATGGACGCGGAGTGGTGTAAAATGCTGATGGCTGTATGGTGACGCACCGTACACCAACTGTGTCTCAAGTCTAAAGAAATAGTATTATACAATTGACTTACATTATCATAAATCGAAAACCTCGACGACCTCGGTGGTCTAGCTGTCTAGCTTTACGACCGATGGTCGCGGGTTCGATTCCTCGCACGGCACAAACATTTGTATTTGTGAGTACGATTGTTTGTATCGATCTGAGTATTTTCTATATATAATATGTATATATTTACAAAAAAATCTATGTATATGTATCAGTTATCTAGTTACCATAACACAAGCTTTAGCTAGCTTATACTTGGGTCTAGATGACGCTGTGTGAATTGTCCTGAGATTATTTTTATTATTTTTTTCCAAAAATTCTCATCTTCCCTCTTAAGGAGAGGAGATGGCAACTTACCCCCGGCAGAAGGACAGTCGGCCGGGGGATCAGGGCCCCAGGGAGAGAAACCGGCGTACAATGCGGGCAGAATCTAAGAGCACCGCTTTCTGCATCTTTCCCGGGAGTGAGCCGCCTCGGAATCCCAACCGTCTGAGATGTTGTTCCAGACTGGTTGGGATAAGACCGTTCACCGACATAACGATTGGAATGATTTCGGTGGACATCACCCACCACATTTCGGTCACCTCGTGAGCCAGGTCGAGATATTTTCTCTCTATCTCAGTTTCGGCTTTCACGAGGTTCTCGTCATGCGGTAATATTATTATTATTATTATATTATCATAAATCGATATTTAGATTTGTTCCTCTTTGTCGACCAATTTAGAATTGCCTCTGGCGTTCGCTGTTGCTTCTTCCTGCAGTGAGAAAATGGCACATGAACAATTGACTAACTTTGGTATAAACAACACAATCAAAACTTGTTTAATAATAACAATATACAACAACAAAGTAAAGTTTATGGCAAGTATGGGCGATGGATTTTATATATATCTATATATATATATACTAGCTATTCGCACTAGGCTTCGCATGGGTGTACATGTATTATATACATATAATCCTTCCTCTTGAATCACTCTAACTATTAAAAAAAACACTTCAAAATTTAAGCATACATAGGGACGGACAGACAGCGACAGCGACTTTGTTTTATACTATGTAATATACACTATACGGATATACAAAACTGCCAGAGATTCTTTTAAAATGTGAATACAATGTACAAGCACAGAGAATGTTCTAGATCTATTAGGATCTACCTTCATACACCTTTATAAATATATCATCATCTGCTTTTTCCTTATCCCATTTATTTGTGGTCCTTGTAATATGTTTTTCTCTTCCATTCATCCCTGTTCGCAGTCATCTCGTTATTTACTTCCTTTCTTACCATACCATCTTTCACAGTCCATCTGTTGTGAAGTCAAAGCGCCTACTTATTTTATTTACGCAAATACTACACTTTTGCGATTTGTGCTCATACAATTTTGTAGTTTTTATTAAGTTAAAAATATAGAAGTCGTACAAGTTACTCTGCGTCTTTTAATTTCATTATTCCCGAAAATCCGCTATGATTACTCCAGAACATGGTCCTATATCGAAGCCGGATGTGAATTAAATGCGGATCAGTTATTATTTTGTGGAATTAAATCGAAATACAAGAAATAAAAGAGAAATTAATTGGATGCAAGTTGACCGGCAGAACTACCTACCATTGGATGTGAATCGAGTGTAATTTATAGTGGTGTTAAGTATAAATTACTATATAATAAACTTATCCCAACACTCTACAGGTAATATTATAAGTAAATCAAAAACTTTATTAAGGTTAGTAAACGATAATTACGTTATTTATCTGTATCACTTTATTTTAACTTCATTGGTTTCCTACCTACTGCATTGTGAATAATATTAGTACTTTTTCATAATTTGCTAAAATTAACTACAAATCTACTTAATTAAGTATAGTAAGCACTAATGCTACATTGTTTGAGTTAATTATCAAAATATATGCCTTATAATTGCAAATTTCAATAGTTATTCACGTCAGTTGTATGTAAGTAAAGTAGGTATAACTAATTCTTTTGTGTTAAATGTTACTTTGGTGTTTGGTGTTTAATTTTATTGTCAGGTTCTATATTATTTTACAATTTAGGTACTTAAGGAATCTGTACATTTATGTTAAACAAATAATTTGCCGTATGTACGACAGCAAGTTAAGAAACAATCTAGTATTTTCTCTATTAATGTCAATTTGAATCGGTACTTATGCTTGTGCATATGTAATATATGTAATGTCACAACATTTACAGTACATTTACTAGATTTATATAATATACATATAAATATATTTCTTTATCGAATTAACATATTGTTAGCTTAATATTTTATATTCATACCTATTGATCGTAGATCTTTATTTCATTAATTAGAATTAATTTTTTAATTGTATAAATTCCAGGTCGACAACACTCGAATCCCATAATGACCGAAGAAAAGGAGTTAATAAAAAAGCGAGGCAGTTTTAAAGGCCGTTTAACTGCATTTATTAATTATTTGCATACACTAACTGATGAACCGTTAAGTCTCTCGGATGCCAGAGAATTACAATTACGTATGGGTAAAATTGAGTCGTTGTATGAACAGTATGATCAGGTACAGTTGCGCCTTGAATGTATAGTTGATAATAGTGAAGAGCAATTTAAAGAGCGCTCCGACTTTGAATCACAATATTTCAAGGCAATCGCGAAAGCCCAAGGTTTACAAAATGTTAATGTTGAGACTATGAGCAATATGGGTAGTGATGGAGGTACTCGAGCGAGCAATAATCATAAGCTGGTGCGTCTTCCGACCATCCAGCTACCGCGATTCAGTGGTTCATACGATGATTATTTGGAATTTAGAGACACCTTTACTAGCCTTATACACAACAATGATGAAATAGACGAAGTGAATAAATTTCACTATTTGCGTGCATCGTTAGAGGGTTCTGCTGCCGTGGTAATTCAATCAGTTGAGTTTTCATCTAGTAATTATGCTGTTGCGTGGAAACTTTTGTGCGATAGATTTGATAACAAACGTCTGTTGATACAAAATCATGTGTCTTCTTTGTTCAATGTGGAAGCAATAACAAAGGAGTCATCAGCAAATTTAAAGCGGTTAATTGATCAGGTAAATAAAAACTTGCGGGCACTTGAATCATTAGGTGAACCTGTCAAACATTGGGATACCCTTTTAATCCATATTATTACCCATAAATTAGATAGTAAAACTTATAGAGAGTGGGAGGAATTTAAGGGGCATTCACATAAAGATACTTCAATTACCTTTGACACCTTTCTAGAATTTATCCGAAATCGTGCAGATTTGATTGAAACATTAGAGCTTTCACGTGTCAATCAGGGCAATTTAAATCATAAATCGACTATGAAATTAAAATCTATGGTTTCAGTTCATGGCAGTCATCCACATCAGAATTCCAATACAGCAGAATCACATAATCGAATCTGCCCTAAGTGTAAGGGTGACCATAGTCTAACCGGTTGCCCCCAGTTTCTTGCGTTGAGCGTTGAAGCGCGCCTAAAGGTACTACCCAGTTTTAAGGTATGTTTCAATTGCTTTCGTGTAGGTCATTTTGCTAATCTATGCAAAAGGCCAGGTTGCAAAATATGCAAGCGTCGACACAACACTCTGATTCATATGATCATCATATTCGTAATGAAAATAGAGTCGTATCCGAAACTACACATTTAGCGTCGTCTTCAACGACTGCTGCTTCTGACAATGTAACTTTAGCAGCAAATATGTCTAGTTATAATAAAATTCAATGTGATGTATTATTATCTACTGCGTTGGTAAAATTATATGACAAGAATAATCACGAACATATAGTACGTGCAATATTAGACAGTGGTAGTACATCAAGTCTAATGACTGAGAGATTGTGTCGACAATTAAATTTGGAAACCTGTCAGGTAGATAAGTCAATCATGGGTGTAAATAACGCAACTTTACGCGTAGGCAAAACTTGTCATGTGCACATGACGTCGTTGAATAACAGTTTCTCTTCTGAGCTTCAATGTTATGTTTTGCCATCAATCACAAGTAATGTACCCGGTCACGAAATTAATATTTCTAATATTGACATCCCTACTGACATTAGTTTGGCGGATCCTACGTTCTTTGTACCAGCAGATGTTGATATCTTGATTGGTGCCGATCTCTTTTGGGATTTGGTAGGGACGCGGAGAATAATATTAGGTAAGAAAAAGCCTGTATTGTGCGAAACCAGATTAGGGTGGATAATTTCAGGTCCTATCTTTAGTCATCATGACACAATTATGCATTTAAATGATATAAAATGTAATTTTAATAAAATTGATTCTAGTGCAAGTCATGATTTGGACGACATTCGAGCTGACTTGACACGATTCTGGCAGCTGGAAGAGATATGCTCCAAATCAAATTATTTTCCGGAAGAAAGAATGTGTGAGGAACATTTTGTTGCGAACACAACGCGCCTCGATGACGGTCGTTTCTGCGTCCGTATACCGCTTAAACATGATTCTTCTGTTTTAGGTAATTCGTTTCATCGAGCGGAACACTGTTTATTTTCTTTAGAGCGTAGGTTGACGAGCAATCTTGAATTGAGAGATATGTATAGCAACTTCATGACAGAGTATAAATCGCTTGGCCATATGTCAGAATATAAACAGCCTGAGGTAGATGAAAAGGAATATTTCATTCCTCATCACGGTGTTATGCGAGATAGTAGCACGAGCACCAAACTCCGTGTTGTATTTAATGCCAGTTCTCCTACGACCTCAGGTGTTTCTTACAATGACATCCAAATGATTGGTCCCACCGTCCAAGATGATTTGATATCCATATTGCTTCGATTTAGGCAGCATAAATATGTTTTGTCTGCAGATGTTGAAAAAATGTACAGACAAATAATTGTCCACCCGTCTGATAGACATCTGCAGCAAATACTGTGGCGTAGTAATGTAGCTGAGCCAATTACAAAATTCATATTGAACACGGTCACATATGGAACATCCAGTGCTCCATTTCTGGCTACACGCTGTCTAAAGCAGTTAGGAATCGACTGCAAGGATGATAAAATTTCCGAGATCATTCAACATGATTTTTACGTTGATGATCTATTAACGGGCGGTAACGATTTGGCTGAAGTTCAAGCTATACGTAAGCAAGTTACTAATGTACTTGCTTCTGCATGTATGCCATTAAGAAAATGGAAATCGAATAATCCTCTTTTGATGATTGATCCTCAGGACGTTCAAGCATCATCATTCGATTTGAATATTGGGAGTGATGAGCCAAATAAGTTATTAGGTCTTAGTTGGCACACAGATTCTGATGAACTCTGTTTCCCAATAAGTTCTCTAGTTCCTAATGGTAATACAAAACGTGATATTCTTTCGATGATTGCTCGAATTTTTGACCCATTGGGACTTTTGGCTCCATGCATAGTTAATATGAAAATATTGTTACAGCAGCTTTGGATTAAAAAATTAGCTTGGGACGAACCATTAACTGATGATATTAATCGTCATTGGAATTACATTCGTAAAACTTTGCCTCTTTTGAACGATCTTCGTGTACCGAGGATTGTTATTTGCGACTCCTGTAAGTCGTTAGAGTTGCATGTTTTTTCGGACGCTTCAGAGCGTGCATATGGAGCTTGCATTTATTTGCGTAGCGTCAGTACTTCTGGTGAAGTTATGGTTCGGTTGTTAATGGCTAAGAGCCGAGTAGCTCCTATTAAGCCTACTACAATACCCAGGTTGGAACTGTGCGGTGCGTTGATGGGAGCGCGGCTATATGATAAGGTCATCACGTCGCTTAGATTGGGAATAGATCAAGCTTACTGCTGGACAGATTCCACCATAGTTTTAGGTTGGTTACGTATGCTGCCTTCTAGACTTCAGCCTTTTGTACGTAATCGTGTTGCTGAAGTCTTAGAAAGGACAGAAAATTGTACATGGCGACACGTACCAACTGATGAAAACTCAGCAGATCTAATATCTCGTGGTGTGGATATTAGTAATCTGCAAGGTTTAAACTTATGGTGGTCTGGTCCGCAATTTCTCATGAATGACTTGTCGAAGTGGCCTACGCAACTGAAGTGTGTTGAAGTTCTCCCAGAAATTAAACCAGACATATCTCTAAATGCTATTGTTATTAACAATAACAATTCCTGTGGGCTCATTGAATTTAGTCGCTTTTCTAATTATTTAAGACTATTGCGATCAGTTGCCTATGTTTTAAGATTTATCAAATATTGTAAAAAGGTATTTGTAGTATCAAATTTTTTAGAAGAGGTAGACTTACGCGACGCCTTAGTTTTAATTATTTCAAATAGTCAATATGAATCCTTTCCCGAGTACAAGTTACTGTTAAATAATGATAATTTGCCAAAAAACAGTCAACTATTAAAACTGAACGTCTTTATGGACGAAAATAAATTAATGCGCGTCGGAGGTCGTATTGATAATTCAAATTTTTCACAAGATAAAAAACATCCTATAATTTTACAGTCCAGTCACATTTTTACAAAATTATTATTTATTTATGAGCATAAACGGCTAATGCATGCCGGTCCTCAATTGTTGCTAGCATCTATAAGAGAAAGGTATTGGCCTATAGGCGGGCGAAATTTAGCGAAAACCTGTTATCACAATTGTATCAGATGTACACGCATGAAGGGTAAAATTGTAACCCCCCTGATGGGAAATTTACCACAGCAGCGCCTACTTTCTGGTGGCTATCCCTTTGAAACGGTCGGTGTCGATTATGCCGGACCTATTATGTCCGCTAGTCGACAAGGCCGCGGTTGTAAGCTAGTAAAGGTTTATATTTCAGTTTTTGTTTGCTTCACTACCAAAGCTATTCATTTAGAGTTGGTAGGCGATTTAACTAGTAATAATTATATACTTGCTTTACGTCGATTCATTTCGCGAAGAGGTAAACCTGTCAATATTTATTCCGATAATGGTACCTCATTTGTGGGTGCATACAACGACATTTCAAAATTTCTAAAGACGAATTGTAATTCTTTAGGCGAAAGTGCAGCCTGTGATGGCATTGACTTCCATTTTATTCCGGCGTATGCTCCTCATTACGGAGGTTTATGGGAAGCGGGTGTAAAGTCGACAAAATACCACTTACAGAGAGTGTTGGGTAATTGTACATTAACCTATGAAGAGCTTAACACCACTCTCATACAAATTGAAGCAGTGCTGAACTCTCGACCCCTGACACCACTTTCTTCGGATCCTGCGGACTATAATCCATTAACCCCAGGCCATTTTTTAATTGGGCGGTCTCTGACTTCTTTGCCAGACCGAGATTATCAAAGACATTCCACAAATAAATTAACACGGTTCCAACGCATTGAGCAATTACGACAACATTTTTGGGCTAGATGGAGCAAAGAGTACATTGCAGAATTGCAACAACGTGTTAAGTGGCGTACTTGCAAGGATAATTTAAAATTGAATACGTTGGTAGTAATTAAGGAGGATAATCTTCCGCCATTAAAGTGGAAATTGGGAAGAGTTGTGGGAGTTCATCCTGGTCTTGACGGCATAGTACGGGTTGCTGATATCCGGACATCCACTGGAGTTATTCGGCGAGCCTTTAGCAAAATCTGCCCATTACCAGTATCATCGGAGTCTGATTGAAAGCGTAGCTTTCAATGCCGGGGGGCATGTTGTGAAGTCAAAGCGCCTACTTATTTTATTTACGCAAATACTACACTTTTGCGATTTGTGCTCATACAATTTTGTAGTTTTTATTAAGTTAAAAATATAGAAGTCGTACAAGTTACTCTGCGTCTTTTAATTTCATTATTCCCGAAAATCCGCTATGATTACTCCAGAACACCATCCATCTCTTTTTCGGTCTTCCTCTGCGCTTATAACCATTCACATTCATATGTAACACCTACCTTAAAATATTATCCTCATTCCTACGCATTACATGTCCATACCACGATAGACGATTATTCTTCAACCTCTCTGACACCTGTGCCACTTTCATACACCTTTATAAATATAATATTACAGTAATTAATAACAATATTCTAATGTATATTTCTCACGAAACCCTTACAGAGCACATGTTATAAACTTTCATTAGCACTAGTGCAGTCACGCTGCAAGCATAAATCCCTTGGGATAGTTCGCCGAGAAAATATGGAAATATACGACCCAACACGTGAAGGCACTAGAAGGTATATTTTTCAAATTCTTAGAACTATCCAAGCTTAGATTTAATAATATATACTGGCCATAAAAGAAATAAATTTCAATTTTCAAAATATCTTTATTCATGTAGGTCTATTTAAAATATTTAAATTAAAATATCAAAATATCTTATGTGGAGAAAGCAATCCACACATTTGGTCGAGCGCAGTGATGGCAGGCTCATTCATCATACTCGTGAACGGGTGCTGCTTGTAGGGACTGGTCTGCTCTAATCACTATGACTGATTTCCTCTTATTAATTTAACCAGTTGTGGTGTATTCTATATTTTCTCTATTTGATTATTTAATTGAATTAGTGCTAATTGGTAGTTTGTATTCACACACTTAAACTTAAATTGTAAAGTAAGAATAAAATTATTTAAAAGAGCAACACGCAAGTTTCTTGCTCGTTCTTCTTGTAATGAGACAGCTGTCCGAATGAGCGGTAAAAAAATGTGATGACTATTCAAAAGTGCTTCAATATAAGTTTATTTGAATAAATAATTTTCTATTCTATTCTATTTCTTAATATGTCTTTATACGGCAACTTTATTAGTTTATGTATGTTTGATGTATGTAGAGTGATGCTCTCTGGTAGCTGTCTGGTTTTATAAAAAGTAAAATATGTCGTCTCTGATAAGTTTTGTAATTTGGAAATATAAATATGTTAGTATATAAATACTAGCTGTTCCCGCGACTTCGTCCACGTGGAATTTAACTTTATTTTTTTTAAATAAAAGTAGACTAAAGGTTAAAAATTATTTTGATCCCTTGGGGATAGAATTAATCAAAATCCTTTCTTAGCGGCTGCCTACGTCATAACATCTACCTGCATGCCAAATTTCAGCCCGATCCGTCCAGTGGTTTGGGCTGTGCGTTGATAGATCACTATGTCAGTCACCTTGAGTTATATATATTTCGATTAATAGTGTGTATAGAAATAACTGGTCTACTAAATAACTTCAAATTACTAATGTAGGTCTATTACTATATATATATATATAATCTTAAGCGACCAAATCTAGTCGCTGTTTGGTTGCCGAAATCTCATCACCATCGCAATATATGCAGACTGAATAACGGTCGGAATTTGATCGCCATTTGAAGAGGTCGTAACGGCAGTTTCCACGCCGAATATTTGTAGTCTCACACATGCTGATTATAGCGGAATTAAACAAAATAATTTAAATCCATCAAGTAGTGAAATGCACTTCCGTAAAATAACACCTACCTGATTCGATTCGAAATGCAAAAACGGTATTACTCAAAACATTGCTGTTATGTTATTATCAGGCGCTTTTTATACATTTTTTTATTGATCGTTTACCATCGTCGATAGATATGAATGTGACCATCTTATTGACGGGTACTCACTAAGGACTAATGTTATGCTTCTTATCATATAATTTTACTATCTAATGTACACCATACAATAGAAATACAGTTTACAAAGGTAACTTGACAGCAAAAGTAGGTGAAAATGAAGTATGTAGTAGTATCCAAGCAGATGGCTTTTTACTCAGCCTATTGCAGATAAATCAAACCAAAATATTCTTATTCGTGTAGGTCTGTTACAGGCTCTTATAATATGTCAAATCTACCCTGAGTTCGGAGTACTCTTCTGGCAGACAGAATTCGAGATATTGAAAAAAATGCAGAAAGCAAAACATATATTACTACTACTAGCTATAATATAATATTTATTTACACATTATTTCCATCCTACACGGGTCACAGCGGACGTTTGACAAAGTCTCAACTTTGATAATGGGCTAGCACAATAGATCTATGCAGGTCTCAGTGTTATAGGTCATAGCCCAAAATCCTTCATTCATTCATAATTTAAGAGTTGTACTCTGGTCGGTGGAGCTCTCGGCATCTTCCACGATGCTCTATGTTTTTAGTTGTTAAAGCTACACCAGCGTCAGTAGTTGATTTACCGGCCGTGATATGACACGACTCCAACTTTTTCCTTAACTATAAGGATCGTTTAGAAAATGTCAATAGGTCTTTTATGGGAATAGGTATAAAAATTTACAATAAGATACCAAAGGATATATTGGAATTACCCTTAGATAAATTCAAAACATCTGTTAAATCATATTTACTGAACAAGGCCTATTACTCACTAAACGATTACTTGAATGACGAGGGTGCATGGCAATAGTTGTTCATGCACGTGATTTTAATTTAATATTAGACATAGACACCTATATAAATATACATTGTAAATAAACTATACTTATAACGAAACACATCATAAAAAACTGGTATTTTAAAAAGAAAAAATAAGTAAATTCTTTTTTTTTTTTACCAGTTTCTTGTCAGTTCTTCTCAATTGGATCTATATACCGAACTGGACGGTAGGGAAAAATTATAATATAAAAAACTTAACGTTCATAAGCAGCTAAAATGTCCTACATGAATAAATGATTTTTTAATCTGAATTTGATATAGCAAAATTCTAGATTAATAAAAAACAAAGTATATAGTAAGATAGAGTATATAATTCTTCATTACATAGTACAAACCAAAGACGCTGTTGCTATCTATCCGTCCCTATGTATGCTTAAATCTTTAAAACTACGCAACGGATTTCGAAGCGGTTTTTAATAGATAGAGTGATTCAAGAGGAAGGTTTATATGTATAATACATGTACACCCGGGCGAAGTCCAGGCGAGTAGCTAGTTGTACACCCGTGCGAAGCCAGGGCGGGTAACTATTTATTAATAAAAAAGATGAGCAGCAAGGACTTTGAATGTGTCAAAGGACAATATACATTCCATTTACCTCAACACCAGCGACGTCTTTCAATTATCATCTTACAATGTCACGTATGTAGGAAGTAGTTACCTTTTCGTAAAATAATCACGTTATTTTCTATTATCCTGTTGATGACCTGATTTTCACATAAGGATGAACTCAAGGTAAACAATCTAATATATGTATTAGTAGATAACTATTTTGGCGTTCTATAATATATCCGTGTTTGTAGGACAACGTTTTATTCTGCTGCATGAAATCTATAGATTATCTGTTATTCTCATATATAAGCTATATTTTTACGCTTATTATGTTTTTTTTTTTTATACTACTATGGTGGCAATCAAGCATACGGCCCATCTGATGGTAAATGGTTACCGTAGCCTATGAACATCTGAAACACCAGGGGTATCACTTGCGCGTTGCCGACCCTTAAGAAACCTTAATATACCCTTCTTGAAAAACCCCATGCTGTAGTCTCGTGGAAAAACATCGGCAGGAAACTCATTCCACAATCTAAGTGTACGCGGGAGGAAACTCTTCTGAAACCGCACTGTTCGGGACCACTAAGGTCCCAGTGTGTGGTGATGAATTCCCTGTCGATGGCGAGCGGTGCGGTGGTAAAAGGCGGCTGTCGGCATCATGTCGAACAATTCCTCAGAACATTTATATTTAATGAACAATATAAAAAATAAGATTCAAACATCCAAGGTGTTTAAAGGGCAGTTGAAAGATTCTATAGAAGTATCGTCATTTCTAAAGCTGAAAGTCTGTGGATTAAATATAAATAAATATCACTATCAAATTTTGTAAACATTAAGTTTGTAAATTGTAAGTTTGTAAATTTGTAAAATTTATTTTTTATTTCCTTTTTGTAATTATTTGTTTCTTTTATGCACAATAAAGAGTTTTATTATTATTATTATTATTAAGGGGGTAAAATAAAAATGGTATGAAAGTTTGTATGGTAATTCGTCATTTTTGAAACTGTGTCGAGAAATGACAATTTTTGTTTCGCTTTTTTAATTTATAAATAATAATCTCAAGACAATTCACACAGCGCCATCTAGACCCATGTTAAGCTAGCTAAAGCTTGTGTTATGGGTACTAGACAACTCATATAAATACATGGATACATTTACTTCCGTAAATACATACATATTGTACATAGAAAACACCCAGACTGATACAAACAATTATACCCATTAATACAAATGTTTGTACCGTGCGAGGAATCGAACCCGCGACCATTATAAAATAAGGCAGTGTGCTAAACCGTTAGACTACCGAGGCCATCAAATTAGCCTAAATAATTAAAAATGCTATACATTGTCACGACGAAGTCACGGACACAGCTAGTTTCCTATAAGATACACCTGTAACATTTATTAGACGCTTAAAATTGCAATTATTAAAGAAAAAAAATCGTAATAAATTGGAATTTATTACGTGGGCCGGTGCGTTGTTGATGATGTTAGTTTTCCTTATAATTTGTCCAGTATTTTCCTTTCGGCGGGCGTCGAGATACATTTTCCTTGTATATTTTGCTTATGGTTTGTAATTTGGACGAGAAAGAATCCCATTCATGAGACAGGTATGTCCAATTAATGAGAGAGGTGACATTACACTGCGTCATGAGAGTCATCATGAGAATATTTATATTTCTATTTTT